CGACCTTTCGCGCAGTTATCTGTGGGGTTAGATGACAGTCTTCAAAGTACTGGCAAATTGCTCAGCGGCAACTGCTGATTTTCCACCGGGAGCAGTTCGATTTGATAAACCGCGGAAGCCCCTTTCCCGTAACTGCCTTTTAGCGGATGTGTCGGATAGTAGGTCAAGCAAAAAAGAAGCTTTTTCATTCGGTAAAAACTATTACAGAAATAACACGTAGATACCTTGCTCACTTTTTACGTAGCCAGACGAAAAAAGAAGAGGAACTGTCGTTTTTTTTTCCTTTTCTTCTAGCTACAGACAAACGTTAATGATCTTCCTTTGGCGTTATCCTTTTACAGTATTTGTGACGGATTTTCTCTTTTCATTATTCAGGGTACTCGTTTGTTCGTTTCTCTTGTTACCGTCTAAAACCTCTCTTTCTGCCCGTCCGTTTCATCGGCTCCTTTTTTTTTGTCATGAACCTCTCATCCGAGACGTTCTTCTTGTGGGGGCCGTGGCACCGCATTTCGCCATCTCGTCGCATCGCTGGAACGCAGAGGAATCGCCAAATCGTCGTTTTCACAAATACTTCTACCCGCTAGTAGTGAGAAACGAATAATAGGCGGTACTGCTCTTCCCCTCTCCAATGACACAGCCTACGTCGCTGCATTTCTGAACCGGAGTCGACGTCATTCTCTCGAGATAGTAACTCGCCAAGTCAACCCAAGCTGCAGCATCAGCAGCGGCGAGAGTGCCTTTGCATAGTGAGCAATGACCGGGCAGATCAAAGGGGAGCGGGCGCTGGGAATGGTAAGAAAACCTAGAACAAATTTGTCACCGTTGTGTCGTTTTGTACCTTCGTCGTCTGGTATTATCATCGGCCCGACAGTATACGTTGTTTCAAACAGAAAAAACTCGTCCTGAGATGTACTCTGTTGCATAGAAAAAGGAGACTTCTGCCATTCAGAAGAGTTTTACTCATCATACGCTGAAGCACCCACTTTTTAGTCAGTGTCAGGCGACCTCTCCATGTAGAAATAGGGCCATCACTGCAAACCTTGATTTGATTAGCGACAAGCACTACTTGACACTGGGTACACTATGAAGACGGGGAGTTGCGCAACATTATAGTCAGCATGAGCATGAAACATAGCCGCGTAAGTTTCATTTGCAAAGTAAAACTTCTGAATAAGTGGCAATTATTATTATTTGACTCAAGTAACGCCTCAATTACAGCCCTTAGATGATGATCGCAACGTTTCGATGACATAAACGCAAACAGCGGAAACGGTTTACGAAGGCAACGTATGCGTGTGGAAAGCCTCATGTTTCTTATGGCACCATAGATCTGCCTCTCGGCGTATGAGACTTCAATATAATCAGCTTATATTGCCCATGGACCACAGTCGATATGTCTGAAGATTTCTTGTGGTCTTTAGGGTATTAGGGTTAGGTCTTCGTCTTATCGCCTGCCCCACTTTGTCACTGTCGACGGCGGCTCTCAGGCGCTTTTTTTGTCCGAATAACTCGGAAACCGTTCGTGAGGCAAATCTACCGTTAAACGGCTCGTTCATTCATCAAGAGACGGTCGGCGTTTGTGTATAATTTTCTTTAGCCTCATAGAGGTATTACGAGTCTCTTTATTTCTCACTGAGTCATGGCGGATTCACAATAATTTTTGTTGAAGCTGTCTCGCACCAGGAATAAAGGGCGCGGCTGCCTGCTTAATTGTATGTACAACAACCGCATGGCTGCCAGTGGGAATGGATGCGTCATCTATAGCAGCCACAGCCCTGAAGTGCTAAGTTACAGACTTAGCTGGCTGCTGCACCTATGGGTAAGCCCTTGATGACAAAGTTCCCTTATATGGCTGAATGTTTTCGTATATATGTATAGGCCGAGGGCCTAAACGGCGTCGGCAGGACATAACATCGGTCTGAGACAACCACTAATTGAGAAGCTAACGGTCTAAAGGTGCAATAAAAGGGGAAAATGCGCGACAAGAACCGAGCGGATCTAAACCGTAAAAAAACGTTCCTTTAGTCGCTATGCAAAGAAAAAGCGTCTGAAGTGGATTTCTAGAAACGACGTCCGGCTTGGTCTTGGCGCCTATTTACGGGGTGCAGACGGAGCTTCTTTTTGTGTATGTCGATGTATGATGTAGGTTTCTCAGTAAGCTGCATGCATATTTGTATGGGCAGTAATGTATTGCTTAACCAGATCGTAGCACTAAATCCAGGAAGCATATTATTGAGGGGAAATGTGTCGGCCCACTGAGAAACAAGCTGTTCTCATTTAACGTAAACTAGTTATGTTATTTCAAGTTATAAATATTGATGATAGCTTTTGGAGTTAACCACGTTGATAAAATCAATTGCTAAGTACTTCGTAACTAATTACAAAGCCAATTTATGTTGGCTAGTAATTGATGTCAAACCGGTGGAAGCTACCTTGCGTTGCCATTGCCGTAATGGCTTTTCATGTTTGATATTGCGAGGGGGCTAGGCTAGAGGACACAAGTGATATTTATCGTATTCAATAATATATGGAACCGTAGGCTACATATCTGTACAAGAATTATGTGTTATATTTAAGTTTCATTATAAAAAGAGCGAAACACGCGATGTCGAATATTTCGACACAGTCGCACGTGGGCGCCGTCATAAAACGACGAATGGGGCTGCGTGGAGCTGTGGGTTGTGAAGAGGTTAAGTGGTCGAGTAACGAACTGGGTAAAATTCATCACACATAAATTCTGCTAGTCCCCCTTCGACTAATAACTAACCGTATTGCCTACGCAATTTCAAATGAGATTTTATGCCTCGCACGAGAAGTTTTGCGACCCTCTTGGACTACCTACTTTGCAATTACATAGATGAACTACGCAAGTACGCAAACCGATCTAGTACTAAGACATAATAACGTTCTAATATAGTTTCTAGAAAAGAACCTCAAAACTTAATCCAACTTGTTCATTACCAGCGATATATGTGACTACACAATATAAACATGGCCTCGTTCGACAGTCAGCAATCAAGCGATCTCATACCCAACTCAAGCACAGAAGCTTGGGATATCTCTCCAAAGACTAATAGCCCAAAGAGAGCAAAACCATTTTTCACGTAGTAGTCCTACAGGCGACGGCTTTTAAGAAAGTAGCTAGAATAAAAGTATACAATAATAATGGGAACCAACGAGAAACAATTATCTTACTGTTATCGTCTCTGTGGCGATGGTGGCCTTACAGCCATTTACACCGGCGTTGGATACCAAAACAAGTTCAATAATATATGGAACCGTATCCTACATATCTGTACAAGAATGATGTGTTATATTTAAGTTTCATTATAAAAAGAGGAGAAAACTGTGACTCTCGAAATAAGGGGGACGCGGGCCCGTTCTACGGCGGTCTGTCTGACGAACAGATCATGAGAATTAATAGGTTTTAGATGAAAGAGATGATGCAAGCAGCACTACAAAGTGCACAAAAGGGATCTCTGCAAGAAAGGTGGAAAAGCTGGGCAAACGTGATAGCAAGAAAAGGGCACAGGAAGCAGAATTACGCAGCGCACGTAGAGTCCGTCATTGCTTAGCCGTTAGCGCAGCCGCTGCCATTCATTCACACAGACGGGCATCCCTTCATTCATTCATTCATTCTGCGTGCCTTCATCGTTTTGACCTGCGCGTACTCACGAGTGAATGTGTAAGTGTGTACGCGCGCAAATTTAATTTAGTCGACTTCAGAGCAGCAGAAAAATAACGCCGACAGGCCTGCCGTAAGCAAAGCAGGCCAGCCAAATCTCTCTTTCTATCTTTCATAGAATAGTGTGTCTTCCATTTTTCCGTTCTATTTAACATTTGAGTACTACTTTGCAGCAGTGTGGCATTGTTATCCTTTTCTTTCAAAGGCGTCTATAAGAAATCGTTTCTATTAGAGGAACACACGTCCGCATACGACGGTCTCTCGTACGGGAGGGAAGGATGTCAGGTTTTCTGTTGTTTTGTTGGCTGTTCGTTTAGCAGCAAAAGTAGCGCTAGCAGTAGAAATATCTCCATTCCTTCACGTCGTCTGAAAACAGCATCCTGCTGTCCAGCAGACAGAGCAGATCTGGATGGTCGAAGCCAACTATATGGATAACGCTTTCTGCCACATCGGACGTAGCTCGGCTTATCGATTTTTTCTCTCAGAGGCCGCAGAAGTTTTTTAATTGGCCGGCGTTTAGCCCACGTAGCACCTTGCGCCCGCTTGTCATTTGCGTTCGCTTTCTATGAGGCTATTGGCGGCTGTTGGTAATTTTTTTGCTATATTCTAACAATTAAATAAATTGAAGGCGGACGGTTGCACGGGTCTTGTTGACAGTACATGCGCCGTCTGTACATAGATGGATCGGTGTTCCTTATCTTCAAACCGCCAAATTCAATAGACGTTTGAGAATCATCCAAAGAATTCACGCCCATACAATGTGCGGGCGTATCGTCTAATAACCTGCTATCTATTGTCCCAGACTCCAATGCGACAGTTTTATTCTATTTCGTAAATGTCGGCGCCAGGACCTCTCGCCGTGTCCGTATCCGCTGCGCATCAGACTGTGAACGGTTCTCTGCTGTACGACAAATATTTGCCTAGGTCGTTTTTATTCATCTTGAACGTTTGTATCAGTACGAAACGCAGACCGGATACTCACACATGTAGTGACTGATGATCGTGATCGTTTCTAATTGGGGCCGATTCAAGATCTCGCAAGAACTCAATCCTAGGCTCACACCTTAATGTATCATGTGCCTAATATCACTTCATGAGATTCATCATCGCAGTAAACGAAAATCTACTGTCACAAAAGGAAATAAAAGCTTCACGCTCAGCCATTATTCTGTATGTTAATCAAATGTGCCTATACGATGTAATCGGTAAAATAACTATAATGTCAATTATCACTATCTTTGGTTTTAACAGTATGTAGTTAGGGTCTGCGACAATATTTCAGTAACGTATCTCTCTACTCTTATACTCTTAACAGGTGACATTGGTAAAATGGAACGAGCCGTATCAGAAATTGGCGTCGTGCGACAGCAGCGGAATCATCTTTGTGTGGATCAAGTACGAGGGTCGGTGGTCCATTGAGCTCATCAACGATCGAAACACACAGGTAGATTCGTCGATGCCACGATCACTGACTAGCGTATTCAATTCTGTATCCATATGCATATACATATGTACATATATATATATATACATATATATATACATACATATATATATACATACATATATATACATACATATATATATATATATATATATATAGCGGTTATGAATATTCAAAGTGCCTGTGATCCTATTTGGGAGCTTATAGATAACCCTGCATCGAAGGGTTAAATTCTGTACATTTTATGCAAGCAATAACCTTCTCATGACTTACTTTTTAATGAGTAAAAAATGCCGGAAAGGCCATTGTATTCCTAAGGCTGGAATGTATTGCATTACATACTCAGTGTTGACTAATATTTGTTGAGAAGTTCTTAGCGTTTACTTCGCGTCTTCGGATGCTCTTAAATATATCGACAAAAACTTTTCGTTGTTCAGATCAAACTGAATTTTTTCACTTTTATTTGTGTAATTCTCCTTCCTTTAACAGCCGAGTTTTTCTATTCAATCGTACTACAGGCTCGTCATCCGCTCCTTTTTCTTGGCTTGTCACCCGTGTTGGTTAGCCGCAGCCTAAGAGGGCTCCTTTTCCCTTAATACCTTCCACACTCCCTGCGGTCACACCTCCTTTTCGGCCCAGCTATCGCGTGATTGACCGAAGAAGGATGTGAACGAAACTTTTTCGTACAACTGCGAAAATATAGCGCATTGCATCTGCGTGTTAGGATCACTTGACACCAAATAGTTGATCTTATTAATATATTCGTACCTGTTAGTGATAATTGTTTAAAAACAACTCGCCTCATTGAGAATAGATATCAGCAGACCTATTGGCTCTTTTCATTTGGTGATAATTTATCTCTAATAACAATTACAATGAATCTTATCATCATAGTAAAAATGCCAAACTAATTTATGCGTGTTTCCTCAGTTTGAGTTTACCCAAAGCTGTTAATGCCGACTGTAAAAGGTATGGCCGGTTTAAGCAGTATATATAAATGTTCGCATAAGGGTTGGATTATTTTAACAAGCTGCCTGAATGTAAACAGGAAATAGCGTCTGTGTCATCATTGTCAACAACTGATCATGTGGTGGTCATTCTAACATTGAAATAATTTTCTGTAACTCGTAGGTAACGGACTTTGCTTGGTCGCACGACGGTCGTATGGCGCTTATATGCTACCAGGACGGATTCGTATTAGTTGGATCGGTGGCTGGCCAACGATATTGGTCATCAATGCTCAACCTCGACGCCACAATTTCGTGTGGAGTTTGGGCACCAGACGATCAACAGGTAGGGCCACCTAAGTCGAATTTGAACGAATATAATCCGACAACGATTTGACGTCTAGAATTTCTCATACTACGATATATATATATATGTGATTTTATCGGGCATGTGGAAATTATAATTAAGCTCAAGTCATTACAGCAATTACGGAAAGGGGATGTACAAACTACCGGAAAAACCGTAGTGTTCTCTTTATAGCTTAGATCAGTTAGGCTTAATGAATTTTTACAAAATTCATATTATTTCAGTGTCCACATTGTGGGATCTATAACTGATATTCGTGAACTAGAAGGGTTGTAAGCGGACGAGAAGTAACGAAATTTATACCTCTTCAACCTCGTTATGTGGAACGCGTGCGTTACCGGTCCCGGTGCATATTATGAGTCTGTCAGGTATAGGCAGTACGCAGGCCTCTAGACCCGCCATCGAACTTATACTGGCGGATACGTACGAGCTGACAGAGGAACTGACCGACAGGAGCACAAAACGAAAAAAAATGGAGCAGCCATATATAAAGCATGTCATACGTCCAAGCAAATTTTCTTCGTTGCGGGAGCTCTTCTGCCAGCCCGCGGTTCTACTACTGGCAACTGCCTGACAAAGATTTTTTCGCCCTCTGTACGCCTAGTGATTTTATCCCATTCGGACTCTGGGACCCTATTGCTCGTCCGAAAGGGTTGCACCACATCCCCCTGAGCAAAGGTATATGTACGTGATCCAAATGAAGAAGAGAAGACGACTGAGAATTGCTCCAAAGAAGTACGTAATGCGTATGAAGTTGGTCATGGTCACGATTGTTGTGGCCGTGCTGCCGGTGATCGGACACAGAAATGACGCCATGATAGGATGTGATGGCTTGATGCTGATATTGATGTATAAGGAACACCATGGAAGTCGACAGCGGCAAAAAAAAAAGGCGGGACGTTATAAAGGTAGGCGTCCAAGATGTGGAGAAGGAGTCAAAAAGGCGGAGACGGTCAGAGATGACCCTATGGGTATCTATTGCCGCTAGCAGTTGATAGCATGGCGAGATCGATTTGGCAGTTCGCGGTTCTACCAACGGACTCAGTCACTAACGCCAATTGATTCGACTCGAGTGAACGAGTAACCGGATGAGCAGGCGTGCTCTCTTCGAGTGCTTGGTTGGTTCACATCTCGCCATCCCGGATAATGCAGCTTTCGAGAGTTCCGCCGTTCCCGTCTTGCCTCAGTGTAATCTCCAACCAACTATCGCTGTGCCTCACTAAGTAGGCTCAACAAACCGCCAGTCGACCCAACTTACCCAAATGACGAAGTACAGCTCGCGGTTGATAGGGCTGATGGCGTTTGGATATCGTACGGAATGTACGGGGCAGGAGCCGACTACAACGCAAGCGATATGGCAAGAGGGTGGCTCCAGGATAAATTATCAGGTCTGCTGTTGACGCCTACCTGCCCCATGGCTATTATAGCGATGGATGAACCCAATGATAAATCTCTGTTCAGCTAAATAGAATGCATGCTAACGGGTATTCGTAGCAATCGATACTGAACAAGAGTAGGATATGAAAATGGGGATTATAATTTGTCCGAAAACAGAAACGGGATGAGTATATCTCTATGACACCCGTATTGAATTTGACCTTTAACAACTTGTCCCCACACCAGCATAAGACAGACCTACTGATATCGACTACAGAAACTGGGAAGTTATACGAGGGCGAGTGTGAACGCATTTCTAGAAGAGCGCAACAAAGCTACCTCGATAATAAAAATGCGAACGTGCCTGCAAATGCTATAACTTACTTAGAAGTTCACAGTCTTAGTTTATATTCATTATCATGTTTTGATCCAAGTTTCTCTTTGTAAAGATGTCTCATTTTGACAACTGTGCAAGTATTATAGCCAGCCTCGTTTTCAATCTATCCGCTTCTAACAATTAGGTGGACCCCTTAGACGCGTAAACATCGCGCTGCATACGAAAAGAAATGTCGTGGAACAAAAAGATTTAAAATTAGTTTGGCAAGCTTCAGCTGTTAAGCTCATAACAACGTTGGGCTCGACCCCACCCGTTTATCGAACACCTCACCCTCTCCGTTCTCTAGAAATCGGCATCGTTTCTTATATGGGCTTTATTCTCTCGACATCCAAGCTATGGAGAAGAGTCTGTTTCTTCATCCTGTCTATCATTGGCAAGCACTCCGTACCAGGCGACATGCAGCCCTTTATGGGCAAATTTAGAACAGCTCCGTGTTGTACGAGAACATATCGATTACAAGGGTGCGCTATGATAACAATGTGGATCAAATAGATTTTCTCAGGTAGTACTTACGTAGGTAGAAAAAGGAATACTAACAAGGGGTTTGACATATGTAAGAACAAGTTGTTGATGGTAGACATTGGCATGGACAAAAGGTAAAAAGTTCTACGTAATACTGCTGCCTTACTGGGGGCCTAGCGACAGTGCAAGGTCAAAAGGGAAAGACCTGGCACTTCGATCTTCAGCGGGAACTGAATAAAAACATGTCGACTAGACGGGACTAAAACGAATACGCATTTGTTCCCGCTATCGTCACCACCGATAGTTATATTATTGTTACTGTGAGCTATGATATTTCTAGGTAATAAGAAAGGACAGTTGGAAGTCGAAATAGGACATCGTATCGCGTTACACAATGACGGCCCATTGTGGGGCCGGGCTGGCGCACTGTGCTAGTATAATGAACATCAACGAATTGTGCATAACCTGCTTTATAAACCAAGCCTTGCCTAACGAAATAGAAAGGCTAGAGGGTTCAACAGTGCCCTAGTCAAGTTCGATAGCAGCCAAGAGCCAAGCACACAGTTACTAGTTGGGAAGAGAGTGGAATAGGGGTCGGCGAGGCCATATAAGATCAAAATCGTATATATGTTAAGAAGGCACGTACCAAACAGGGTGCGAGGTTTTCTTCTTTCTACTACTCGGTATTGACCAAGCTTTGGCGTACAGTGAACGAACAAAGCTCAAGATGAGGACAATGAAGTTGCTGCTAAGCTAACGCACGCAGCGGAAGCCTCTTTGGAAATAAGGGAACCTTGCCATCCTTCAGTCACCGCTTTTTTAGGGTTCGTGAACACTAATCATTGCAGGATCAGTCCATAAGTCGGCACGCTATAGAGGGAAGTTGGATAACTGATGGACAAAGAAAAATCCTGCAAAGGAGCCCGAGAGCCTTTTAAACGTTCACATAAAGTCCATTAAACGTCTTTGGCTCCAGATAGGGGTTTCGTGCCAATGGTGCCTGTCTGTTGACTCATTCTTCGATAACGCATAAACCTCTATTTCGCTCCAGAATATATATATATATATACATAAGTTTACAAACAGACATAGTAAGCAGCCCATTAAATAAAGTTTGACGGCACGCACACGTATGTATATACCGTCCCTGTGTGTATACAATTTGCGTAGAATGTCGAGTTGATGTTGCCAGAGAGGGAAAAACTGTATCGTTTGTATATACTTATTCTAGTAATAATACTTTGGCGCACAACTAAAATACAGACAGACATTTTTGCACAGAATAAAGAGCTTGAAAATAAAGAGGCAACGTTGTAGGAGACTGGTCTACGATGCGTCATTTTAAAGTATAATTAGATTTCCATGAGAATCATTCAGATGCAACGTAACAAGATGAACAACGTAATACTCTCATACGAAAATCCTCTAAGCTTTCGCGACGCTCAACGGCGAGTTGCTAGCGTCGATGTCGCAGTTGCTTCTTGCAATCTATTGAGGATCAAGCACTCTGCAGCTACTAATATAGATGCAGACCTAGGAATCACTTTAGCAGGCCCATGTATCAGTGCCCGACCGTGTCCACTAAATGTAAAAGTGTCTACCGCTAAAGGAGAAGAAACAATGCCAAATGGCTAGTTGTTCCGAGCCTTAGTGCTAAACATCAAGTCAATTGCCGAACTCATCAACAATGAAAAAAATTGATGACCGACTGTGGTCATTGTAGAGACTTTTTCGAATGCAGAGGCTGTTTATATCTTACGTAATTAAACAAGACGGATATTATCAAGATTATAGTCATTAATAATACATTTCACCTCGTAAGACTGATGACTTCACTACTACCAGTCAACTATTTTTTTTTGTTTGTTGAATCGGTCATTAAAATGAATATCGTGGATGAAAATAGGGCCGCTATATTGGAAAAGCGATTGCGATCAGCGTACAAATACTGACGTATAGACGCCTATTGACAGGATTAATGTCATAAATTGGCTCCAAAGCTATATATGCATACACGTATTTATCTATGCGTCACTGTCACGAGACCCATCTGCGTAGCACTATTCCCAATGAATAAGACGAGCGATAGAGCACGAGGAGGATCAGAGAACGACGTCTCAAATGAAGACAACGCCCCGCTAAAAACGACACAACCAAAGATATAGAAACAGAACGAGACGGAGAGCACCTTCGTTCCGTTACTCAAAGGGGCTACGGGAATTGATGGCAAAGTTGGAATCCCTGGAGGAAGAAGCAAAAATCCATTTTAGGGACAATACAGTTTTTTGCTCTCCGTTTGTTATCTCTGTCCATGCCGTCTTTTTTTCTAGATAGAAACCTGTCATCGGGAGAAGAACGCGGGAGACGCCATGGGATGGAGCAAAGAGGAGGAGTTGATAGCTCAAGAAATATCTACCGTTCGTTGTGCAGTAGTAGTCAACCTACAATCCGACTATTCCATGAGGGGTCGACTATGGAGTAAAACGTCGCCGCGTTGCTGTCTGTGGTCCCGTGTGTTCCTCTCGGTCGCCTTTCATTCACTTGTTCTCTTCACTCGTTTCATGTACACAAAAATTCGCTTTTTTTTTGCTAAGGCAATGCTTTTATTGTAAATGTGAGACTATTGCCATAACTGACTCTATCATTAACGAGAATATGAGAATGGCACGAATGCTGAACGCAGAAGAAGGAATGGCCTTTCCGTAAAGGCTAGATATTTCAAATTTTACGTTTGCTAGAAAGC